ATATATATAACAAAACCCGAACACAAAGCTTCCGTGTTGACACTTTGTGGTGTTTAATGCAACAAAGCCACACATCGCCATCATGATGTACAACATATTCCTTTATTGTTGTTACTGATAAATCTGTCAGTCTCCCATTTTGGAAAAAAGAACAGTATATACAGATTAGCTTCCAGAATCTCTGTGTAATAGTTTCATGTACACATTAAAGGACAACAGAACCATTTACAGGCAAACTGGACCCGACAACAGGTTCTATATGCAGGTTCACAGGCTCAGCTCGGATTTTGGCCACAGAAGACGAGACACAGCTGCCTCATCACTACTGGCTAGTGTTAGTGTTGGAGTGCAGTCAGCTCCACCGGCGCCATGGTCAGGTATACTGGTGGAAAACGATCAAGATGAGGAAAGGAAATCGCTGGCGAATGAGTCTGCTGCTCTGAAAGTTAAATACAGTGGATGGATGCTAATGGAGTCAGGTTTTGTTCAGGGTGCCTGATTCTGGATCGTAACGAACCCTGGTTCCCACCACTATTATATTATTGATATATAAAAACAATCCATTTTATCTTCTGCATGAACATTTCTGCTGTATTGGATGTGCTCAAGCAGACTCGATGCAGAACTAGGACAAATCTGTTTCTGCCACTGAAAGCACAGCTCCAACGAGGTTCTGCTCATGTTCTGTGCCTGACCTCCTCTTTTTGTCAACCTTTAAAATAAACCCTCCTACAGCCTGTCATCACAGGTGTAGCTGGACAAAATAACCAGGTTTCCTACTTCGGCTCGAGAGGCTTGAAGAAGTGAAACTCTCCAGTGTTTCCCAGTAAAAAGCAAAGACTTCCTCTCCTGTTATCAGGTGTGTGACAGCATGAAGTGAGCATCGGCTGATGGCTGATTTGTCCAGAGCGTGAAAAACTAGTTACTTGTTGACTTAATAAAAAAAGAAAACAGGAAGAGGATGCAGGTCTTTATGAAAATGGCTGAACTCATGTGGACGTGGTCTTAAAGCCCACACTGGGCATCCCATGACTGGCTGAACGCTTCTCTTTCACTGTAAAGTCAACACTTAAAGACATTTAGTAATATTTTCAGTGTGGTGCACACAAAGTCTCAGAATAATCAGACACGGTTCAGTCTAAAATAAGCCTGTTTCAACCAGACTCCATTCATTTTCTACATGATTTTACAGGAAAGCGGACTTGAAACAGCATGTACACAACTGTTGGATCTCTGCTCATGTAGAAGTTGTACATGATTTGCTGATTTCTGCAGTTAAAGTTTCCCATGATAAACCCTTTACACCTGGTTAATCGATAGATTTGCTTTGATAATTAAAAACTGTACACATCTGTTTACCCTTTTTACACAGTTTAAATTTATGTTCAAAGAAAACAAACTAATCTCCCCAGAGCTTCCCACCATGTCAGTTACACAGCTGCATTTCTGTCGTGATAATTTGGTTAAAGTGTTATGCTCTCAGTCATGTATATGTATTTATTACACCAGCAGGAACCCAAAGGAATAAACATCACTCTTCAAGTAAAACAGAGAATCACATCTTTATAAAGTCTACCTGTATTTTACACATCTGTCACCAAACACAAAGAAGAGCTTAAAAAACTAGTAACTGCTCCAATAGTTACACAAAATACAATATTTTCAGGCAGTCAGAATATAAAGCATGTAGAAATGTGGAGGGAGCAGCTTGGGGACTAAACAGGTGTTACCCACAGTCTGAGCACTACTGCTATGTTACAACAAAGGAGCTAATTAGCATTAGCAACACCAGCTGTCGGGTTAAACAGGAAGCATCTCATCATCTCAGCTGAATCTTTAATTTGGCAGTTTAAATTTAATAAATACTTAATGCGACTAAAGTTAAAGAAAGAAACGAGAAAGGCTTCGTTGCAGGTTGTTCTGGCTGCAGGTCATCGTGACATTCAACTATCAATACACATTAAAAAGCAGCCTCGTCACCATGACGTTGATCAAAACTACTGACTCGGAACAAACTCGATAAATATTTTACAACTCTGTGAACAAAAGCCTTGAAACTGGAAATGATCGGCCATGAATTCAGACCAGAAGTATTTTGGATTAGTGTGGTTCTCCCAGACGGTCTGACGTGACATTTCATTTCGGGTACAACGACCCAAACACTGAACATGGGACCGGCTTCGCTGCGCCGCTGAGCCGAGAGGGTCTCAGCTCGGGTGGGAGCGAGGACGACACGCCGCTGTTCGGTTTGCTGCCAGCTTGACCTGAACTCACCTGATGCAAATCCAATTCAAGATTCAATAATTTAACTTTAAGAACTTAAGTGACATTTTAAAATAATTTCTTTACAGGAGACGCATCAAACAGAGTCAGACTGGAGCTGATCTCTGGTCTAAGCCTGGGATGCAGCACTGGTGCTAGCTGCAACTGCAAACGGTTAACTAGCATGCAAACTAACTCCAGACCAGCTCAGCATCATGACCTTTGACCTTCGATCCCCTGTGGGGGCGTTTCCAGGATGATAACTCCGCCCTCATGACGGACAGCGCTCCAAAATCAGGCCAATCCAAGTCGACTCCTATGGACTGTAGACACAACTTAGTGTTTGTTTAGGAAGAAAAATAAAAATTACAGCAAATTAATTTAAACTCAAAAATCCAACAGTGCTGTGCAGAGTCGGACCGGTGACGTCTAATCCTCTGCACCTAAAAGGAAGTATGCTCTGGAGAAAAAAGGCACGTTATCATGACAAACATCTCAAAGCAACACCAACAGACACGTGGAGTGCTCGGGGTCAGAGAGAACACAGACAAGATTCAGCTTCAGGAAAATGTACCGAGGCCTCCTGGTCTTATTTTTCAGCCTCTTCCTTTTTTGCTTTCATTTGTCTTCTCATCTGGAGGTTTGTTTGTTTCGAGACCCGGGCCAGCCCGAGTGCAGGAAGGGGGTGGGGACAGGTATTTGACAAATGTTAAGGGAGCAGTGCGTGTCCCTGTCACCTTCAGTTCTCAGCTCGGTCATGACGTTGTCACACACTCCAGCTTCTTCCATCAGGGCGCCTCCCCAGTCAGCTGCAGCCTCAGGTCATACAAAGACCTTAGCGAGCGCGTCGGCCCCGGCACTGCCGATGTAGCACTTGGTGGGGTGGAACGCTACATCGTGGATGGACTCCTCGAACTTCTTGCGGTGGGCGGTGAACTCCTGGATGCAGGTTTTGCTCTCCATGTTCCACAGACGGATCGAACAGTCGTGACCTGGACAGAGAGAGAAGGATATGTGTGTAGAACAAACCCTTCAGAGTGAAGTCTACAGTCACAGTCACTTCCTGTTTTTCATATGCACAGTAGCTTCAGAAACATTTCAGAGCCCGTCACAGTTTACACACTTATGCTGTAGATTCACATTGCCACTGCTGCCACCCTGAAAGGTGAACCATTGGCCTAGTCTCAGGTTCGCCTCCAGGACCTCCCCTCAGTTCTGACTGGTCTCCCTGTCCCTGCTGCTGAGAAGCCCCCCAGCAGGACGCTGCCCCCACCATGCTTCACTGTAGGGATGGTGTAGGCAGGTGGTGAGCAGAGCCTGGTGTCTCCACACACAGAGCTTAGGGTTCAGTCTGGATCCAGACTGTGAAAAGCCCTGGTCTACACACACGTCAAACAGGATGCACCTGAGCAAAGAGTCTGGAGACTTTTGGAAAGGAGGGAGTTCAGTTTGACTGAAGACGTGTTTCACTTTGTCACTGAATGATGGAAATTTTATCTGTTACACTTAAGTCTACAACACGGCAAAGTGAAGGGCTCTGAATACTCTGTGAAGCAACTGTTCACGTTCCTACGCTGACATGTACGACCCCGTCTGCAAGCTCAGACCTGACTTATGTTTTTATAAACCACAGTGTTGAAGTGAAATGTTGAACTGATGATGGGGCTAAATGAAGAGTCGGAGGACCATGGTCCATCCTGAGGGGAACACGAACATACCAAAGCTTTGCACTGTGGAGACAGAGCACCGGTATCATGTGTCAGTGCACGTGGGCATGCACACTTACTTCCAGACATGAGGTATAGTCCGTTTGGATCCACGGCGAGACTGGTGACAGAGTCCAGGTGGGCCACCATGGAGTGGATCAGCTTCCCTTCACATTCAGAACAGATCCACAGGTTAGTGTGTGAGCCAGGCCACTCAGCTCAGCCATACTCTCTAATCACACGCCACAGCCTTATCACACCATCACAAAGCTGGGGCACGTTACACTGATCCAGGGTAGGTGACTACATTTCCCATAATGCAACAGGATAACATCTTTCATTAGAGCCTAAACTAATGGTGCTTGTAATGCTGGGTTGCTTTTATAAATTTGTAATCTGTCTTAGACCTGACAAACCCCGGCACACACAGCTGGATGACAGCTGACAGGCCAAACCCCCACCCAGCAGGGCCGAGTCTGCAGAGCCTTGTCAGGTCTCCTCTGTCGGAGGAGGAAACGTCCTCCTTCCAAACCAGGCCCCCTCACTGTGTCCAACCCACTGTGTCGTTCACTGGTAGAAAATGAACCTCAGCTATTCAGAAGCAACAGTCACCGACATGTTCTGGTTCCACCTTCTTTAATGTGAGGAGCTGATGCTTTTCTTTGTCAGACATGAGAATCAGCTGAGTCTCTGTGGGTCTGTTGGTTGGACACAACGAGACGTGTGGAGACGCCACCTTTGGCTCTGGAGAGTCACAGTGGGACTTTATCCCAGTGTCTGACGTTCTAGGGATAAAATGATCAATCAGATGATCAGGACGATGATCAGCTGATTGATCAGGGGACCTCCTGGTTGTGTTTCCAATCAGTCAGTCGGGAGTTGTTTATCACTGTCTGTATCATGGTGCTGCTCCTGTACTGCTCCTCGTGCACGAGGCTCTAGCACAGTAAATGTCACACCTCCCTCCTCTTGCAGCAGCTGCTGCTGTGTACCTGTGTTATTATCGAAGAACTGGATGTGCCGGTCCTCCTGAGCTGTGATGGTGATGGGCAGTGTGGGATGACTCAGAACTCTGTTGATCTTGCAGGGAGCTTCTGTGTGGGGGCGGAGGCGAGAAGGACAAGATTAGCATTTAATACCCACAACCTTCCATCAGCTCAGACTGAGAGGTGGTGCTGTAGCATCGAGACAACCTGCTGCAGGAGATACAACCGTTTCAAACTGTCAGAATCAACCGGGGCGACGGATGGAAACACACAAGTCCGGGTCAACAAATCCCACACACCAGCACCGAATGCCTCCTACTAATGAGCGCCGTGTGCACATCGCAGCCGGTCAGAGCGTCTTGCTCTGTACCACCACCCTGCTGCTTCAGATACAGTAACTTCATAATTACAAGCTGACTCGTTTGACATTTTTATATTGAGTATTCTGAATAATAAGCCTGGTACAGAAGAACAACAGCTGTTCTGTATGATGTGACCAAAGAAGTCTTTTGGTCTTTATTTGACCCTGGTAGTTTCACTGAGAGGCCGCCTCTCTCTTTACCACCTTCACCAAATAAATCACTAGATGATCCAAATGTGTAAAATCTCAGGACCTAGATCATCTTGGTCAGAGCTGATGTTTTGCTGGCAGTGATCCTGCACGTGCCCACGTCAGGTCGATGACAGTCACAAACAGCCAGCGATGGAAGACGCACTGTGTTACCTTTTTACTACAGCTGATAAAGGCGACGTGCTGAGAGACAGAACTACAACATGGAGCCAGCGCAGCGCAGGCGGTGCTACTGTGTCTGCTCAGCATGATCGCCAAACACGACTGTTAAAACGACATTACATCATAGCGATGACCTGGGGGCTTCCCATCTAGTTGATACGAGACCTTAAGGACAGGTGGCACCCAAGTGCCCAATATTCACTCCATCAGTACAGACGCCACCTAGTTTGTGATTGGTCGGCTGACTTACCTGGCGGGCCGGCAGACTCCAGCTTCAGGATGAGCTGCTGCGTCTCCATGTTGAAGAGCCCGATGTGTCCGGTAGAGAAGGACGTCACCATGTGAGCCGGCTCACTGCTCACCAGGTCCACGGAGGTGGGCACGCCCAGCTCTGAGACACACACACAGACTCGTCAGGTGGCACACCTCTACAGGTGAACCATGGGGGCTGTACACCTGCTGTAGGATGCGCCATGATGGATGTCAAAGTCTAAATGTGAAGCGGTCTCGACACGAAGCTGATTAGATTTTATCAGACCTGTACAATGTGTTTTCATGACGTTGAAAGGTGAGGAGTGAGACAGGAGACGTGACCGACAGTGAACAGGTAGATGATGCAGCATGTTAGGCCCCACCCCCAAACCCACTGAGGTCACCACCAGCAGCTGGTGTTTCTCACCTCCGCTCTCGTTGAAGACAGCGAGAGACGGCGAGGTGTCAGCGGCACTCCACAGGCGCACTGTCCCATCGGCCGAGCAGGACAGCAGGCGGTGATGAGCCGAGCTGTAGACCAGACCCCACACCGAGTCCGTGTGGCCGCACAGCGCCCCCCGCAGGACCGAGGGCTCTGCAGCAACGAGGGCAGAGACCAGGTGGTGAAACACAACACAAACAACTCTGTCAGTTCTCTTTTGCTTCAGACATTAACAATACAGACACTACTCATACGTACTATGTGTACGAGTACACATTCTTGCTATAAAATAAATACAAATATACATTTAAGGAGTGTTTGTCAGTACTTTAAATCTTAAACCATCAGTGGGAAACACAAAGCGTTTGTGATGTTTGTTTCCTCTCATTGGTTGTTGGGCTGTTTCTGCCCGTTTCCTGTTTCCTGGGTATTTCCTCTTTCATTTGGCACTGACAGGCACCGATGAGGCCGATCCAGGAACCAGGCTGCTTTAAAGCCACGACCTCTGATGGACGCGCTGTTCACTAGTTTATTGATCATTTGAGACTCACTGGTTGTTGTTCTCCTCGTCTACACTGGCCAGATGGATTATGGATCCATAGGGTGTCTCACTGTGTGCAGCCACAAAAAACCAGAGGTGTTCATGCTTGTGTTGGGCCACACTGGAACGTACCATAAGAATCATAGGGGTCGACATTGGGGTTGGGGGTGTTCCAGCTCTGAATGGTACCGTCCACCCCGCCACTGAAGCACTGCTCACCACTGGAGCTCATGGTGACGCACAGCACCGCCCCGCTGCATGGAACAGAGAGCATTCATACTCAATCAGTTTTCTGTAAAGCATTAGAAACTCACATATCCAAACACGTCCCGGCACTAAAATTAGATTATTAATGAACGGGATTCAGGTGATGGGGACGTATGATGACTGTACTTTTGATCAGTCTGAGGTTGTTTTACTAATAGTGAAATGGGATTCTGGCTTTTCTTCCCCACAGAATCATATTCTGCAAAATCGCTGACTTATACATTAAATTATTAAACACACCCATCCATCCATCATCTATACTGCTCAACTCCTATGGGCAGTTCAGAGTCACCAGTCAACCTAAGATGAATGTCTTTGGACTGTGGGAGGAAGCTGGAGAGAACCCACGCAGGCACAGAGAGAACATGCAGACTCCACACAGAAAGGCCCCGGGTCGGCCCAGAACCTTCTGGCTGTGAGGTGTCAGTGCTATCCACTGCTGTGCTGCCCTCATTGAACATATTTCCATAAATATTATATACATATAAAAAAAAAAAATAATACGTTTTCCTCAGCAAAGAAAATGTAACAAGTATTGATTCATTAACTCGCAGGTTCAAAGCAGTGTGAAGTCACAATGCAGCACTGCTCAAGAACACGGTCGTTCCTTAGTCCAAGCACCTTGTCAAACAACTAAACAGGAGCTCACCTGTGGGCCCTGAAAGTGTAGATGGGCTCCACGTCTAAAGCAGCACATCTGGAAGGTTCAAGCAGAGTTTGTGTTAACAGCAAACAGCAACAACACAAAGACAACAAAGGAGGAAACGGGAGGAATTCAAAGTAAAAGCCCGTTTGCAACAAACAAAGATCTGGTTCCATGAGCTAAGAGAATATTTCAGTGATGTGTTAGAGCCTCACTTCTTGGCGGGCGCCGTCTTCTGTAGGTTCCACAGTTTGAGGGTGTGGTCCTCAGAGGCGGTGACCAGGACCGGCTCCACCGGGTGGAAGGCCAGACTGCGCACAGAGTCAAAGTGGCTCCGCAGGGTGAATTTCAGGTTCCAAGTCTTCCTCAGAGCATCTTTGTTGTTGGTGATCTGACGAAAGGAGGTTTCACATTTAGTTAAAACCAATCTGGTGACTAGACATTAGTTCACATGTAGCCTTTAAACATTACACAACTCTGTACACTGAGAGACTGAAGGAGGGGAGAGTCAAACCAGTCAGACAAACACCTGGAGTGTAAGAGTTTGACACCAAATAGGCCTGGATTAAAAACAAACAAACAAAAAGAAATCGCTTCACAACTACCGCAGGTTAATTATGTCATTAGGAATTATTGTTATTTACTGCTGGGAATAAAAGGATAATAAGGATAATCACCTTTATTTGGCCAAAAAGGATTTCCATCACACTTTCACAGATTACGGTAAAGTGGGACACTGAAACAGATCCTACATTGTACCATACTGGGCGTTGGTGAACC